TGCTAACAACTGCTCCACCATGCAGCCCGGTCAGCTTGTAGCTACATTGCTTCAGTTCGACGGGTGTCGTCAGTAGATCCCAGCCTTACAGCCCCACCCTCAGCTCCACCTCTTTTCCCTTTCATGGAATTGTCTGGGCTTGACGGAACCTGTGACACGGTCAAAATGGCGGTGGTGGCCACCTCCCTTTTTGGCTTAAAAACTTATAATTGGAGCCTATGGAAACAAATTGTCCGGTATATACGTCGAAGTTAGTGATACAACAGCTCTATTAAAAGAGCCAGGTCACACAGCTCCCAATTGGCGGACAGCGCTGAGACCAGTCACAGAAATGAACAATGAGATGTTTCATTGCTACGGAAATCAGCCAACAAGGCCCTAAACAGTCAAAAAAGCAACAAATATATCATTTTTCTAAATGAAAGACCTCTATCTGTTAACGTCTCAAAGAAAGTTTAACGTTGATGCCAACATCGTTTCAAACAGGCACCATTCCCGGGCCCACGCCATCTTTGTAGTTTTTCTCTATGGCAAGCAGCTCTGGTGCTGAGCTCACCCTACCAACGTAGAGCTCTGGGATTGGCCAGACACAAAACAAATCAGGCCAATAGTTGACCTGCTGAGGCTATAGTGGAGCGTGGCTAGAATGACATGCAGAGCTGAATTTTTTTGTTAGTGCTTCGGCTGCATGTACTCCTAAGATATGTTTGAAAGCGTATCTGTTTATTATATTTTACTTCCATCTGCCTAAACTGGTGGATCTGAGTGGTTTCAGGTGAGAAAAGGTTGAATCTACACCAGGAAGGGTGTTAGATACTCCTCCTGTTGCATTATTAATTGAAATAGATTCAAGTAAAATAAAATAAAACAGAATAAAAAATTTCATTTTGTGATTCTTAATACTTCATAGGTATTGTAACGTACCAAAAGGGTCAATTCTGTGACGTGTCCACAGACTACGATCACAGCATCGGACGTTTTGTCTGGAATATTCACCTTAATATGTATCTTATTGTAACGTGTATGAGTGTAAACAGTGATTAACTTGTTAAATCAAACACGTACTGATGTAGCGTGATGAATTGCCCATTTCTGACCTAAAGGCCCTGCTCTATTCGCTCTGCCCAAGCAAAACCATAAGTTTCTGACACAAGCCTAATCTACAAGATACGGGCCAAGGCCACTCAAGCTCTGTGCGCTTATCTAAACTGTTGCACAAGAAAAAAGACCAAGAACTCTCTTCTCTTTAAATAGTAATCAAATAACTTTGTTAGTCCAAATAATCATGTGAAGCTAATGTTCAATCAATCTGTGAAATGAGAATATTAACTTGAAATTATAATCCTATGATAGTATTTTAATAAGCAGTATAACTTTAAACTAGACACTAGACTGATCACACGTAATGCTAAAATCACATGACACATTTCCTTTTTCTGATCCAATGTTACGCTCCAGGCTGTCCAGGGGGCCTGGGGTAACAATGAGGACGCATGTTCACGTTGTAAAAGTAACAAAACAACATTTATTTACATAAATATAAACTCAAAACACAGATTAACAAGACACATCAGCAGCAACACAAAACGAGTAACAACTAAACTCTCATATTAACCAAATTAATACAAAAACCACGAAAGACCATCACGATTTCCCTTTTACTGAGTGATGTCTTATAAAAGCAAGCGAAGGGGTAAAGTGTCCTTTACCCCTAAAAGGTGAACGGTTAAACACAGAGAGTTAAGCTCTCAAAGTTGTTACATAAATCTTAAGTTTAACAAAACAAAAACTGCTGAGGAGACAACAGACCAGAGAGAACCTCCCTAGCCTGCTGCTCCCTGAACTGAGGGCTGGCTGACTTTTATGCTGCTGGTCATCAGGATCAGCTGAGAGAATCTAACCGGGAGGCAATCTAGAGAGATTGGAGCCAGGTGCTGCATCTACACACACACACACACACACACACACACACACACACACACACACACACACACACACACACACACACACACACACACACACACACACACACACACACACACACACACACTCAGGGAAAAACCCAAATGGCTCTGAGCCGTAACATCCAATCAGAACCTTCCAGATCTGACGCGAGGCGTGGTTTTGTTGGTGCTTGTTAAAACCCTTTTTGTGGCAAATCCTGATTAGACCATAAATCAAAACATCCAATTATAAAACTATGCCCCACATCACCTTAACATGAGTTCAAAGTGTTCTAGAGAAGTTATCGGAGTGGCCGATCCGTAACTTTCCTCTTAAAGCCGAAAGAACGTAACGACAAGCTGGATTAAACCTGTTGCATGTTCCACCTGCTGCAACGGTTCCTTCAGAATAAAAGCTGAACCGGCACGACCCCTTCAGGGTCTCGCTGATGCTAATAAACTGTCGTTATCTGGGAGTAACTCAAGACTGGAAGGGTCGGCAACCGCTGCATATCTACAGACGTCGGTTCCAAGAGGGTCTAAAGCTGGACCCTCGACATTCCGGATCTAAACGGGGACTTCCGTTGGGGTACGTAGACCGACAGATGGCGTCTCAATGTGTGTTATAATCTCCAACCAAACCTTAGAGCAAAACACCCTTTCACTCCCACTCGGAACTAATCGTTTCTCCGGATTTGCTGGTTCTGAACATCTTTCACACATACACCATCCTCAGTCTTACTCCACCTTAGTTCATCATACACCTAGGGTTTAAAGTTAGTCTTGTTTAATTTGTTTAGAAAAAAATCTTTTAACTTTTTAAACCTGACTTTCTCGCTTTCTTGAAGTTGACACTAAGTGTTGCTCAATCCCTGCAATAAAAAGATCCGATCTTCTGGTTGAATTTACTCAAAGATCCATCAAGGTGATATTTCACATTCTATGGTTTCTAATTAAATGTAAGAACAACTTCTTCTCTACACTGATCATACGATCTGAAACGGGTCATTGTAAGAGTAATATTCATTTTAAATCCGTTGTTGGTTTAAGCGCAGATTATTCAAACATTTCATTTAAACATCTTGTTCATTCAACACATGATTATTTAATTTATAACTGTAAAATCAGGGAAGCTTAACTTTCTTCAGAGTGAAGAATGCAGAGAGTGCAGAGGACCTTGACAGTTTATTATGACTTCATGTATGTAAACATGCACCGAGCAGAACCTTCTGAGTTCAGAAGGCCAAACAGAAAGTGGATTAACTTCTGTAGATGAAGGGTCACTATGTTGGTCAATGTAGACGGTGAAAATTTGACCCTTTTGGTACGTTACAGTACAAAATAATTACTAGTTACTGAAAAGTTGGAGTTAGTAGGAGCAATCATCACAATTAATACCATACCAACTTTATTTATAAAACACTTTTAAAACGGGATGGCAGCCGACCAAAGTGCTGTACAGATAAACAGTAAAACACAACATAAGAACAAAAACACAATCTATAATATAAATACACAACAAAGCAGTAAAATCAGAGTCAATAAAAGAATACATAATAAAAATAATTAATAAAAGTCAAGGATTTAAAAATGCCCAGTCGTAAAAGTGGGCCTTAAGCAGTGACTTGAAACGGGGGAGGGATGGTGGTAGCCTCACTGAGAGAGGAAGAGCATTCCAGAGGGACGGAGCAGCGTAGACAAAAGCACGCCGCCCCCGCGCTTTGGATTTCATTGTGGGGACGTGAAGCAGCAAGCAATCAGCAGATCTCAATGCTCAGTTTGGCACAAATGGGCCATTCCCATCTGTACCGGGTCGGCCCGGGCCGGGTAGCGTAGGTTGTTTACATATCTGGGTGGCCTGGTATTTTTCCGGGCCAACCAAGGCTCATTCTCAGCCCTCTTCTCGAGGGGGTCTGCTTCAGGCCGACCAGGGCCAACACACCCACTGCTGACAGCAAATTCACACCTTCCATTAGAGCAAGCCTCTGATTGGTGGGTAGAATCAGCCCACATGGGCTTAAGACAAGGATGTGTGGAACCAACCGGGCCAGGCTGGGGCCGACTGGGGCTACCCGGCCCGGGCCGACCCGGTACAGATGGGAATGGCCCAATAGTGAGTCACAAGGTCAGACAGGTAATCCGGTGCCAGACAATTCAGGGCCTTAAAAACAAAGATTAGAATTTTAAACTTCACTCCGAAGTTTACGGGTAGCCAATGGAGGCGCGCCAGTACAGGTGTGATATGGTCACATCCAGAGGTGTTCGTCAGAAACCTAGCTGCCGAGTTCTGTACCACCTGAAGCCAGTTAAGGGTGGAGGCTGGCACACCAAATAAAATAACAGGAAGTGATACAGAACTCTGGAGAAGAACAAAAACAAACACTGGTTGTTTATTATTTTTTCAATATTTATGGGGCATCGATTGGCTGAGAGATGGTGTGATGTCACGTGTAACCTCTAGCCTGGAACGCTGACCTGTCGTTCACAAACAAACCAGCAAGGACTCCTCCTATTAAAGGAAAATGCAGTGAAACCATCTGTTATGCATCTCAACTGCACTAAAACACTGATGGTGTAGAAAACCCCCCACAGCAGCTCTCAAAGCCGGGTTGTTTATGAACGACACATCAGCCGTTCCAAATAAGGATCCGTTTGGAAGCCGAATGAGCCGTGATTCTGATCACCCGTTTGGACAATCCAACCTGCCCTGGAGGAGGCTTTCTGTGTAATCCTCTCAGTACAAATAGTAGTCAGGTTCACTAAATCACTAATAGAACCATGTGTTTGTCCTATTTATTCCCGCCATTGCAACCTTTGGCTCCAGTTACACTCAATGTTTGATAAAAATTTTGCTACGGCTTTTAGTTTTAGCCTCCTAACCCCAGGATGACCAGTGCACCTCATCCGGAGTGTTTCTGGAGGTGCCTCTGGGCATAACGCTTTTTATTTCCAACAAAACATTTAAACAAACATAATCACCTAAAATAATAAATCAAACAAACATTATTAAAACGCATCACCTACTCTAAGCTCAACAGGTTAGCTTGTGAAACTCACAGAGATGACGTCGGTGTTTTGGGGACTCATCTCCACGACGTTGGCATTGTACGGCTCGTCCTGCCACATGGGGGCGTTGTCGTTTATATCAAGGACGGTGATGTTAACCTAGAATCAAAGGGAGAGGAGAAATGTTTGGAGCAATTATAAAATACTGAAACCAAATTCATTAAAAAGAATTTAGATTGTGGCTGGGACAGAACATTAAAATACAACCCTCACAGTGACAACGTGAGTTTGTATAGAAAGGTTTTTCACAATAAAACCTACATTTTGCATTAAAAACTTTTCAAATTTGCACAAATTCTTTTGCCCACCTTTACTCTTACTTTTGCACTTACTTAAAACACCTTTATTGCCTGAAACATTTTGTTTTAACGCAACTTTTTTATATTTTCTGCTTGACTATTTTATTGGCTAATTGTCTACTTTTTGAAAGTTTACACTTTTTTGTGTCACAACTAACAGCAATATGAACAGAATAGTGTTTTATTTAATAGTAGTTTTACAATACATTTGAAATGTAAATAGGATAGTTTTGTTTGGAGACACAAAACCTTCCAGGGTTTACTGTTAATCTCTGGGAATATCGATCGAAATGTTGAAAATGAATTAAATGATGCCCCAGTTTTTGAAAAATATTGGTGGCTTCGTAAATATAACTATAAAAAATCAGGTCTAAAATACATGGGAGCGGGTCAAAGTCTCTGGGCGATGCCATATTAGACGCTGTGTTTCCTTCTTTGGGAGCCCGTGAAGACAAAACGCATTTACTGATTTGTAGCAAGCAGTTACAAAACTTTCACCATTCATAATCGTTGTTGTTTTATAAATGTACCTCTTTGCTTGTTGCCAGTGATGAAATTACTCCCAGAGTGTTTTGACCCTAAAGGCCATCCATTGGTAAGATCTTACTTGAGCACAAAAATACTGCTTTCTTGCAATTATTTAGGTGTGTACTGCCCCCCCATCTCCAAGGAAAATACACATGGTCACTTTAAAATTAAGAGCTAAAGTCATCAAATTTCAATTGGCCTTTTAAAATATGCATTAATGGCTATTAGAAACACACAGAAGAGAAAAAACAAGAAGGAACTGTCCCGAATAAAGTTCAAATATTGTTTGAATAGTTAGAATAAAACCCAGATGTTGAGAAAAAACAAAGTAATTCAAGAGTAACGTTATTCTGAGATTACAAAGGTATGAAAAACTAAACCACCTTCAGTGCAAAGACCCATCGGCCTCGATGATATATGACGAATGTATCCATCCAGTGTTAGAGATAAATAATTACATTTGTTATTTACATTTCTAAATCTGTGCACACCCGTAAACAGCTTCAACATTTCCAGCAGGTAAGGCTGCAGTAAAAGTTTGGCACGAAGAGAAAAATTGTAAGAAATTTAAACACTTAAAATGTTGTGAAACATGCGAGAGTTTGAGACTCTTATTTTGAAGGATTTAAGGAAGTTGAGGCTCTGCTGAGGACTACTGGAAGAATCTTGTTGTATTTTGTAATTTAACACCCCCCCCCCCCCAGCTTTGATTATAAAAATGTTTTGGGTTCAAAAGCTAATCAGGGTTTCCTAACTGAGGCTTTACTTTCAAAAGTAAAGTTCATATTTCCTTTTATTGTGAAGGTTAGGGTTAGGCAGGAGTTTCATGCTCAAATTGCTAAAGGTTTGGATTTCACAAAAATAAACAATCAATGATGAACAAGTCTGCTTCTAGACCTGCAGAAAGAGAAAAAACAAACCTAAAAAAAAAGGGACACACAACAATACATCAGGAGCAAACAATCACTGCATCACCCTGATGGTGAAATATAAAATCAACATTGTTTTACTGAACAATCACACGATAATAAACCACAGTGCATTTAGTGCCAACCACAGCCTTAAGACATGTGTTGAACGTGCCCAAGTCCATACTTATGAGAGCACCATGTGAGCACCTGTGTGTGTACATGCACTTGTTTATGTAAGGTTTCTCTATAGGAGTGTCCAATAGAGAGTGTGAGGGACCACAGATCTGCCCCCCAAAGATGTGTAGGGGATGGAGGGAGCTCCAAGTCCCAGAGATCCAGGAGCTGTCCCAGAGCGCAGGGACCCCAGGGAGACTGTAACCAGAAAAGCCCCCGCTCCCCTTGAGAGGCGCAGAGGATCGCCCCGGGGGGCCACAACCAGCAGCCGGCAGAATCCCGGGAGAAATCAGCGGCAAGCCCACAGGCCCGCCCGCAGCCTCCCACCCCCTAGCCGGCCGAGCCCTTGGAAAAGGTTTGGATTTTCTAGAGTAAATTAAAACTACACCTTATTGTTATTCAAGTCCTTTTGGTCCAAAGTACAAGTGACCACTTCAGATGAGCTGAAGACCCAAACGTGGCTCTAGAGCTGCAGGTTGGACTAAAGGCGCTACCAGATAGTATCTGTACCATAAAGCTACAGAAATGAGCCCATTTTCAGCACATGTTCAGTGGAGGGGTTGTGGTGATGGTGTTACCGTAGCGATGCCAGTCTTCTGCTGCGGGCCAACTCCTCCATCCACAGCTCTGACTATCAGGATGTACTCCGACTTCTGTTCTCGGTCCAGAAAGGTCGTGGTGGTGAGCTCGCCTAAAACAGACCAAAAAGGGTTAAGACAAGGTAAGGTAATATTGTGAGCGGTATACAGTTGGTCTGTATTACAGACGATGAGTACACGTTTGTTTAGATCTCCTCTGCAAGGTTTTTTTGTTTTGTTTTGTTAAGATGTGAGTTACGTGTACTGAGGATACAGGGGGAGGAATTTTATAAGTTACACTTCATCCTACTCCCCGTCAAACGTTTCAGTTACACTTCATGCATAATGTGTGTTTCTAAGGACACGTGTACACAAACAGGTCTATATATTTATATATATATCCATGCATTTAATTTAAATTTGGTTCTAAATAAATAAGAAGCACCGAAACCCATGTGACACCCTAGTAAACAGTGTGTAAAGTACACACATCAGCACATGCATGCTTGCACGCCAACCATCCCACCTGAGCGTGAGTTGAGCCGGAACTGAGACGGGCCCTCCAGGGAGTAAATGAGCGAGGCCTGACCGAACTCCCGCGACGCATCCGAGTCTGTTGCATTCACAACCAGAACAGTGGATCCTGTGAGGGGTGAGATAGTGAAACATCAAGATTAACGACATTCAACAGCAACAAGATGTCAATGAATAAATGGAGGTGATAGACAAGCTGCAGAGTCCAATGTCCAATGTCTTCCCTGCCCCCTTCCTCGGCAATGTTGATGGCTAATGGCAAAAATGTATGGATTAGTGGATTATCAGCATGTTTGGCACGGCTCTCACTTGCCACAAAGTTGATCAGTACCCAGACTGGTAAGGGGATGAGATGCTAGCCAAAGCTGCAGGGCTGGCCTGGAGCTCTGTCTCGAAGCAGCAGCCTTAGGCCTGCAGCTCAAGGCCAAATACTTTAGACCCAGTTCCCTGAACTTCAGCGTACATCCATGCTGCTCTGCTAAGAGCTCCTTTAAAATGTGCATGAGACAGAAAGCATGGCCAGAGCTCAGAGAGAGAGAGAGAGAGAGAGAGAAGGAGGTGCAGTCATACGTTCCCCTTTCCCTCTAGTGGCTGGAAACAAATCTATTGTCGGAGAAGACAAGAGCGAGAATGAATGGAGCAGCTAGAGTGAATGTGCCACATTCTGATAGAGGATTTCAAAAATGTTGCTGAAAGAAAACCGAAGCAGAGAGTTCAAATGCTCGTTGGCCTACAACTCGAGTTGCAGCCGAGCTGCGCTGCTGGTGCATAAATGTGACTCTGGTGACTAAACTGTAACCGCAGAAGCTTTGAGGAACTCACCGGCAAAAATGTTCTCTGGGATTTTGATGACGTAAGACTGTCTGCTGAACTCCGGCGCGTTGTCATTCTCATCCTGGAGGAGGTGAAATAAACAAGCAAAAGCTCAGCAACAAGACTGCAAATCACAGCGCCGAGCCAGCAGCGGGGAAAAGACTGACATTAAAGCCCGAGTGAGGAGTTGTAATTGCAAAACGGTGCTTAAGTGGCACCTTTAAACTTTGTCCTAAACTGGAAATGTGGTGATATAAAATCTGTTAGAATGAAGACATTTTCCACCAGAGGCGCTAAAAGTTTACAGCCAACCCAATTACATCCTGCCAAGGGTGACATGAATAAACAGCTCTAACACGGGACGCCATGAGCTTTAAAACGGACTCGGCGACAGCGTGTAAACGTGTCCCAGCCTCCCGCTCATGAATACGGATGTTTCACGGCAACACGTGGAGCTGCGTGGCTATTCACGGCGAGGATCCCCACTGCGCGAGCCGCTGAGAAGTGTTAACACTTTACAACAGTCACTGGTGCAATTATCTACCACGGCTCCGAGTTACACTGGTGCAGCGCTTTGTGTGAGTGTGACGCTGCCAGCCGCTGATAAACCCCTGTGGTGTGAGTCACGCCACTGTGGAGGACAAGAAAAGAGACGGAGACAGACGCAGAATCCGGAATTGTGCACATCTATCCCAGTTGGATTTTGCAGGGTTTCTCCCTCCCTCGTGTGGGATGTGTATAGAAATTCTTTCGCCCCTTGCATATCGAGAATATTCGTCCATTCTTCTTCGCCGCCGCTGCCTTTCTCATGAATAAAAACGTACATGTATGATGGATGTCCGTCCAGGGAAATGAGACGAGAGGTCTGAAGACTTGTTGTGGGTTCTGTCTGCTCATTTTCAGTGTTGGGAGTAACGCCGTTTAAAATAACGGTGTTACTAACGGCGTGCTTTTTTAGGTAACGGAATAATCTAATTAATTACTTTTCCCACTGTTGCAACGCCGTTACCGTTACTGGGGACGGGAGGTTGTGCGTTACTATGTGCGGGTCGAACGTTGAGCAACAGTGTGAGGCTTTCTGACCGCCACACTTCAGCTGCAGCCAGGGAGAGAGAGGTGTCGGTAACGCACTTACAAACACGATGATGATTGGCCGGGTGGGCGGAGACCCTCACGGTCTCAGTCACTAACTGCTGCAGACACAACAGAGCAGCGATGGGAATAACGCCGTTTAAAATAACCACATTAATAAAAAATATTTCTTTCTGTAACAAGCAAACTAATTAATTACCGTCTTCTTTTAACAAAACGATCGTTTCTGTTACTGATAAGGAAATGCGTGCGTTAAGCAGCGCGGTGTGTTGAAGCTGTCATCAGCTGATCAGGAGCTAAAGAGGAAGATGTTTTCATCCAAGAGCATCACGGCCCGTGAAGAACGAGGAAGACGTGATGAATATCTACGCCCTTCTTAGCGTGAGAGCGGGACGTCCTGAAGGTCCGCTCACCTGTTCACCGCTCAGACGTCCTGATCTTCTACCTTCCTAGATCATCCAGCTGTAACCTGTTTCTGATCATGTCTTTAGTCCCGCTGTAACACTGATGCATCAGTCTCAGACGGCATGGAGCTCAGGTGTTACCAGAACTACCTGTGTGTGTTTACCACCCAGCTTCAGCTCTTCTGTGGTTGGGTCTGACCCAAGTTGTGCCTCTTCTAGTGTCATTTTAAAGGTTTTATTTATTTATTTAACCATTACTAGATTAGCAGCAACAGAAATGCTACTAAAAACACACAATTATGTGATGCTGGAAAAATTTAATACTGTGCAAAATTACATTCATTTCTGTAATTTAACTAGACTGAGAGACCATTTAAACGCTCGGGAACCTTTACAGGTGTTTCTATTTGCAATTTTAAATTTTAGCTGATTGGGGTCTTGTTAAATATCACACAGTGACCTTTTAATAGTCTAGATTAGTGTAATGTTCCTGTTAGTAGTTCCTCCTGTTAAGTGCTTATTTATTTACATTATTCAGGTTTATAAAAAACATTTGGACATACACTTTATTATGTTCCAGTCATTAGTCATTTATATTTCACTATTGTAGTAATTTATAGTAAATGAAGTAAGTTTAATTAAGAGGGGAACCCTTTTCTCTTGCATTCTTTAATGACAACAGTAACTAAGTAGTTATTTTTCTTGGTAATTAGTTACTTTTATAATCTCGTAACTCGGTAAGTAACTGAGTTACTTTTTTGACAAAGTAATCAGTAACTATAACTAACTACTTTTTAAAAGTAACGTTCCCAACACTGCTCATTTTGTTTTTATGCCAGTATTCATAAAGTCAGTTGAGGTAAACAGTCACATTTTTCTTTTGCAAGTTAAGAGAAGGAGGAATGTAGGAGGAATCCTCTAAGTTCTCCAAGTGGTTGGGGTGGTGGGCCACCGGCAACGGCCCGGAGTACGTCGGCCGTTCTGGGATTCTCCAGAACTCAGACTGCCAGTCTGCCTCTGGCCCGAGCTTCTCCTAACGTTCTGATTCAAACATGTACGGTTGAACGCACGCTAGATCCACAACTTCCCTACTGACTCATCTGGACACTGCCGTTTCTAGCATCAGGCAGTGTCATAGAGCCATTGTGGTAAACCAGCCAATCAGCACACATCTCACTTAATATTCACGTGCTGGCTAAGTAGGCGGGGCAAATCAATCTTTCCATTGTAGGCCTTTATTATGGCGATGTATTTGGCTATTTATCAGGGCTGCTGGGCCATTTTGCTAATGGCTGCTTGTGCCTAAGTGTGAATGTGAAAATGTAAATTCTGTTAGTGTTGTTGGCCACTTCAGTCCATGGATGTAACAAAACTGGTTTGACCTTTTCTTTGAGGAGAGAAGCTAACCCAAGCAAATTTGTTGAGTTGGCTTTTTGATGGTTTTTATTCTCATTTCTTTTTTTCTTTTTTTTTTTTTAGCTAGGATGCTAACTGGATCGTTTTGGTTGTTTTTGTGAACAAGAAAAAAATCATAATCAACCTTCATTGTGGGTTCATACCAGGTTGGCACAAAATCAAAAACAACAGCAAACACAATCCGAATGCTGGTGTTTTGTTTCTTTTACACGAGTAGTATGCATAAAATGCCTGCTGTTATTATTAATAACGGTTTCGTCACCACAGGATGTTTCTAAGTGCACAAATTATGCCCCAAACATCTCCCTCTTCCTGTCCCACTCTTTTCCTGCTGATCACCAAGAAACTCTTCAAGCTCCCGTGTGTCATCTGAACTAACTTGGATTAGCAAGCGTTGGGTAATGTCTTTACTTCTTTTCCTTTGAGGCAATTAGTAAAGTAAAATAAAAAGGTTTGTTCTGTTTACGTGAGTGGTGCTCAACGCATTCCTCCTCTGGTTGTCTGCAAACGTCCATGACATCTCTCTTAAAATCGAACTACATGACTAAAATGAACTCTGCCCAGTGGGCTACCAGTTAATGGGAGACACATCGTATTAATCAGTTGTTGCGATAAACTCATTATTTTGTAAAATGTTGATATTTGAGCTAATCAACACACAAAGTCTGTCTCTTTTATTCTAAAATCTGAAAGCATAACTTGAAAAGGATTGGCTATGAGTGGAGCCCTCACTTGTTCTCGTGCATCGTGGCAGAAGGCCCACATCTGTGTTACTTCGGTTGTCGTACTTACTATCACCTCCACCGTCACGGGGACAGTGCTGTTAAGTGATGGGTTTCCCCCGTCTTTTGCCATCACTGTCAAATAGATCACTCCGTTGGGAATCTTCTCATAGTCCAGAGGCTTGTTTACACTGATCACTGGTGCAGAGAAAGAGAAGGGGGGTGGGGGGTGTTAAAAGTGGAAATTATTGAGAATTTATTTGTGACCTGCTGCTAACAAAACTGTTACCAGCACATTTGTTTGTAGGAGTCATTTTATTAGAGCTGACGTAGAAGTAGAGGCCCAGATTCACCAAGAATGTGCAGCACCAGTTTCTGCTCACCGGTTGCACCTTCTATCTGCTTTTATAAGTGCCAGTCTCTCAAAGCACATGGTTGTATTTATTTGTTGTCTTAGAAAGCTTCAGAGAAACTTCGTAAAGCTGGAGGTCCTAGGCCTACATCAATACTGCATGAAGAAGTAATCACATTTAGGTTTTGTGAATCAAACACCCTTTAGTGCTTTGTTAAAGGGGACATATTTTGCAAAACTCACGTTTTGCTTCCTTTTGTGCTGCAATGTGGGTCTCTACCACCTCTATAAACAATCCAAATATGAAAAAAAAACATGTCCATTCATTTTCTGTCCGTGTTTGGTTTTAGGAATTATGTGCCTAACAAAGCCATTTCAAATATTCCCCATTTGTGACATCACAAACGGGAATTTAGATCAGAAGCACCTCTCAAGAGAGCTGCTGCTGGAGAAGCAGTGGTTCTACTTCAAGCCCCTCCCGTATATCAGAGCTTCTTCTCAGCTTATAGCAGCCTGACTGGGGAAGGGGTGGGTGTGGCCAGCAACAGCTTGTTTTGTTTTAAGTGAAAGAACCTTCAAACGGCTCATTGTGGAAGGTATTGAAACTTTAAAACAGCTGAAATCAGATATTTAGTGCAACAAACGTCATGAACATGTCTTGTATCGACCTTAGAAATATTATGACTTAAAGAGTAACTAAATCCTAAAATAACTTTTTTTGCTAATTAACTGTATAATTGGGTCTTTACAAATGCAATCTTTCAGTTTCTGTGCATTTGTTGACATGTTTGTGTAAACTTGATTAAATCTAGAATCTAGGTCCAAAAACGTCTTTGTGCTGCCCCCTGTGGCAGAACAGCGGCTATTGCATTTGAAACTTGCGATTGACCAGGGCTGGAACAATTTCACATCATTGATACAGTCTCCTCCCACTCCCCCTCCCTCCCAGAATGGAAATTCCCCACACTTGGCCATGCCACTCTGTGCCTCCTGGCAACGCCCACTTTCATAGCATTTTTCAAATCTTGACTAGGGGTGGAGTTACATTTTCTGATGGTGTGCAATGCCTCTTTAAGAAAAAAATCATAAAATGTCCCCTTTAACTATATATTTTAATTTTCACTTAACACATTTGGAAAAGAAAAATGCAGACATTGCAAGGCAAGCGAGACTTCTGAGAAAGCAAAAGAAAATACAGTCAACATGGACTTCAAACTGTAAGGTATTCATTAAACTGAATGGGTCTCCGGAGCAGGCAAAGATTCTGATCATTAAGGAACTAACAGAGCTAGAAAAATACAAGTAATAAATGAGTATATAAAACAAGTTTACAAACTATGGTTAAGATCATCAGAATTTATGCATCCAAACTTTTTTTGGATACTGTAAAAACAACATGGATAACTCTGTTATTGGTCTTGATTCAAACTGGCAAAAATCACTCAACTGAAATGGATACAGATGATAAAATATATGATACTGACAATAAAATGGATGGAAATTTATATGAATTAAACATAAGTTGTGATTATATTGGGGAAGAACAATTGAACTGTGGGAGATTGACTAAGGACACAATGTCACTTATCCACATTAATAGTAGAAGCTTATTTTCTAAGTTATTAATTATCAAAGATTATTTAAATAAATTCAAAAACAAATTTTGTGTGATTACTATAACAGAGACTTGGCTCAAAGATGATATGATGGATGAAGTACAAATGGAAGGGTATGAACTTTATTTTGTAAATAGAAAAAATAAAAGAGGTGGTGGGGTTACCCTGTACATTAAATCAGATCTAGAATGTAAACTAGTTAAGGAAATGACAATGATGGAAGATAATGTTATGGAAATTGTAACTGTAGAAATCAGCAATGAAGCTGCTAAAAATACTTTAATTAGTTGTGTTTATAGAGCACCAGGATCATGTATTGGGACATTTAATGAAAAAATTATTGAATTGGTTGATCACATTAAATACAAAACATTATTTCTATGTGGAGACTTTAATATTAATTTAGAACATGAGGTTGGACAGATAACTAAGGATTTTGCAGATTCACTGTATAGTGTGGATTTATTCCCCTTGATAAACAAGCCAACCAGAATTACATCTCGGACTGCAACAATCATTGATAATATATTCACTAGCAATAACGATGAGGTCAGGAAAACAGGGATATTAATGATGGATATTAGTGACCACCTACCTGTTTTTGCAGTCTTCAAATACAAACATTCCATAAAACAAAACATCACCATGAACTACAGAAGAGATAAATCAGTTAAAGCCATGGAGGCATTAAACAAAAGTGGAAGGAGGTATACGTCCGTGATGTCAACGCTGCATACACATCCTTCATGAAAATACTGTTGAAGTCATATAATGATAACTGCAAATTAATCTAATCTACAGGTAAAAGGGAAAATCAACCTTGGATGACTAAGGGATTAAAGAATGCGTGTGCAAAAAATAATAATTTATATAGGAGTTTTTAAAATTGCAAACAAGGGAAGCAGAAGATAGATATAAAAATCTAAAAATTAATTGGTAACAATAATTAGGAAGCAAAAAAAAAAGATTATTATGGTAATCTGTTGAATCAGAATAAAAATAACACAAAAGCTGTATACTTGGGGAATACTAAACAGTGTGACCAATAGAGAGAAAACAAAATCCAGTATTCCGAATCACTTTGTCAAGGACAAAAAAGATATTTATGATGATAAAGAAATCACTGATGAGTTTAATGATTTTTTTTGTAAATGTAGGTAGGAGTTTGATGGAGGACAAACCAATAATAGAAGATAAATTGACCACAATGATTAGTACTGTCAATAGTATTGTCCTTGACAAAGTAGATAAAGAAGAAATACGAAACATTGTAAAAAACACAGCAATGGCAATAATGGAATTAACGGATAAAATATCAACAGCAACTGACAATAAAATGACTGTCAGTGTTTTCATTGATTTGAAAAAAGTTTTTGACGTCATTGATCACTCAAGGTTACTTCGAAAATTAAGTCAGTATGGAATAAGAGGTGTGGCTCATCAATGGGTTAAAAACGTATTTAGAAAAAAGGAAACAGTTTGTTCAGATAAAGGACCATGAATCAAAACTGTGAAATTAATTGTGGAGTGCCACAAGGGCCGGTCCTTGGACCAAAACTGTTCATTCACTGCCATTGACGACTAAAGTCGACATTTGCATTTTTTTACTGTTTGGGCATCGGAACGAGCCCCCACGCTCAGAGAACAAACATCTCAGCTCTAAAGCCGATCTTCATCTGCATACATCACACGTCATGTGATCAGGAAGCAGAAAATCCATGTGTTACATCGTTTTTGGCCGTTCCTGTAAAAAAAAGTGAGGCGCGATCCGGAAAAGCGTCTGCCGATCACAATTCGACAACGGATTATGAAAGAACGGATAACGCTTGAAACTCGCAGATTCTTCCTGATGTGAGAGGTGAGTCTCCTCTTTGTTTTGGTTGTTTTGGCGTTGACATCATCCTAGCGTGCAACGTTCTGTGACTCTTAAAAAACAGTAAATGCAGTGAGAAACGCTGGCAGCGAATGAGTTAACGACTTGGAAAATGTATCTAAGACACTCGGTACCATTCTATTTGCAGATGATGCAACACTGTTTTACTCAGGATCAAATATTGAGGAGGTGGCTAAAGTGATATAAATGATGAACTGATTAAGATTAAAAACTGGTTTGATATAAATAGATTGACACTGAATCTTAATAAAACACATTTTATACTGTTTAATGATAGAAAGAACAGTGATGTGTCATTGGAAATAGATGGGATTGCAATTCAAAGAGTAAAAGAAACTAAAGTTCTTGGAGTTCTTATTGATGAAGACTTGTCATAGAAATCCCATATTAGTTACATAAAAGGTAAAATTGCCAAATCCTTAGGAGTAGTACATAGAGTCACGTTTTTACTGACTGATTCTCGTTTGTTGGCATTGTACAATTCACTGATTGTTCCATACTTGACTTATTGTGTAGAAATCTGGGGAGCAACATACAAAAACTATACACAACCCTTATTTATTTTACAGAAAAGAGCTCTGAGAATCATCAATTATAGTGGCTGTAGAGATCCATCAACCCCATTGTTTATTAAATATAAATGACTGAAATGATTTAAAAGACTGGAAAATCATACAAACCATGTATAAAGCCAATTTAGGCACTCTGCCAACAAACATTCAGGGGATATTTGAAAAGAGAACTAATAATTACATGCTGAAAGAAACTGATGTGTTTACAAAACCTAGATTTAGAACTAAAATTAAGGAGTGGAATATATCTTTAAATGGTGTTAAATTATGGAATAACCTTAAAAGGGAAATAAAAATGTTCAAAAAATGTACCAAATTGAGTGTACTAAATAATTATGAAAATGTAAATTAAATCAATGATCATGATCACACTGGAATTAAGAACAGGAAAAGGTTTAAAATGAATCTGTGTGTGTGTGTCTGACAAATGGAAATTATATATAAATTGATTATTTCTTCTGGAAAATGGGGCAGAAATTATAAGATGCTATTCTTCATTCTGCTCCTTTTCGTTCAAATTTGATTTTTTGTTATGTATTTCTTATTGTTTCTATGCTTTATTTGTTTATATTTTGAATGAAATAAACAAAGAAAAAAAAACTAGTCGCTCATTTATTATTTGGACGATAAGCAAAAATTAGAAAAGCTATTTTGCAAACATCGCTGGATTCTGAGAACCAAGTGCTTTTTGTCAAGCTAATTTACATTTGCATGAGTGGACTTTCCTATTAGTGTATGACTTAAACGTGAGCAAACTGAATCAATGCAAAGCGTCACTGTTAAATGTGAAAATGTCCCGTTGCAATGCCTTTAAATACGAGGACAGGAAAAATGAGCAAAACACCAATTCCTACCAGAAAAAGATGTGCAAACCTGATAAATATGAGTGAGTTTATAAAAGTTTGCATACCTGCATAACCTTCCACCATTGTGATGCTGAAGTAATCACCGAAGGCTGAGGCTGAGGTGATTGTGTACGTCAGTAAGTTGTTCGGAGGAGAATCATCGTCAGTTGCCTGGGAAAAGAAGAAGGCCTGTGCTTTCAACATATGTTTTAGTGACAGTCAAAAGTCCAAAGCTTTAAGAAGTTTTGAGAGCGCCAAGACAAAAAGACAGATTGTAAAACAGCAGATGCTGCAGCAGACAGTGCTAATATTTGTGTTTTAACTGTATGTGTGTGAGACTGTGCTTGAGCATGTGCATGCGGCCAGAGAGCTGTCACTCAGCAGTGGCATGTTATTGGACAGATTAAAGCTGATCCTGGCTATTAGTGGTGCAGGCGTCAATACTGGATGAACACCAACTGAGCCAAGACGAGCCAAGCAGGCAGAGGACAGATGAAACCGTACTTTGCACGACTAATCCGCAACAACATAAACAACAATGATGACACCCCCTCATTATTCTCGAGTTGGCAGGAACTTAAAAATGAGTCCTCCGGCTGTGAGAGGAGTCTTCTGGGCCTCGCTGGCATCGTTAGAGGCTGGACAGGTTGTCAAAAACACTTATTTGTATCTCCTCACAACAGGCATGTATCTCTAGTCTTTCATTAAATGCCAAAGTGTTGAGTAAGCAATACCTTTCTTCCCCCCCACAACTTCCTAGGCAGGGACTTTCTTTTGCAGCTTGTCTTCCAAAATCAATTTTCAACAAATAGTATTGCATTAGATGGTGGTTTCTTACTGAAAGGTAAAACGAGTCGGGGGCAGGACATCAAAAACGACGACTGGTGGAAGAAAATGCGTAGAGAAAACTGAAAAAGGTTCAGATTTTTGAAGTTCGTAGGAGAAACGAACATCCAAGTCAAGAGCCAAAGAGCAGAAAGCCTCTCTTTGCTTTGCTTTACCCCTCGATACACCCGCTCAGTCCATCTGCTTCACCCTTCCCCCTCGTCTTACCTCTTCTGCGGTGTGTGTGCGCTTGTATGTGAAGTATGTAAGTTCCTGCACAAACTGCTGACACACAAGCTTGTGTCTGGCTTCCCTCTTTCTCTCGGGCAGTGTTATTAATATCGGAGGAGTTTAAGGTGAGCCTATAGTCAAACACAGCGAAGCCAAGAGTTAAGGCCAGCTTTTCCTCAAGAGATATTTTTCTTTCTCCGGGTGCAATCAAAGCCAAAGCTGCACCATTAGTTACAGCTGTGTCCTTCTCCCTTTGGTGTGGCAGTGACTGATGACCAACATGCCAATCTGACCTGGTCTATTGTTGAAAGCAATAAAAACAAACACATTACAGCACGGTTACAGTAAAACTGGGGGAAATAAAAGGGAAAGGGGGGGAGAATCTGATCCCTTGAGGAATTGGGAGTCGTTGACATGTGTGGTTTTTATGCAGAATTACGTTACAGCTTTGAATGTGATGCATAACTGTAGTGCGGGTCTCTCAGACCTAGTGTGCAGAAGTGATGGAACGTGTGGTGAATGCAGGTTCAGTGTTTAAAGGCCGACTCACACCTGATCAGTTAGAAACTTTTTTCCATTTCTCGCTGGAGTTCATGTAATGAATCAGTTAATGTCCAGCAGCCTTTTCATTCTACTATAAATGTTGATTGTGGCAGAAACTTTTTATATTTTAAACCAGCGATAGTCACAGGTGTATGTTTATGGAGCGTTTTACAGCAGCCATCAGCAGAGTGTACGAGAAACTGTAGTACACCAGTGTGTTTCAGAAACTGCATGTTTTCATGTTTTTTTAAGCACAGCTCACTTTGATTCGTGCCAGTGATTGGGCCGTCGGTTCGTTCTCTCTGACTGAGCCCACGTATGCATCCTTCTGAAAGAGTGGCGCGTTGTCGTTGACGTCCAGCACGTTTACACGGACCCTTCCAGTCGTTTCCTCCCCACCTCCGTCCCTCGCCAGCACGGTTAGAGTGAAACGGCGCATTAACTCGTAGTCGAGACTGGCCTTCAGAGTTATCCAGCCCTTTACTTCATCCAGTGAAAACCTGTGAGAAACACGTGGAAAAGAGACGATTTGACTCCAGCATGTCATATTTAACTTGTGCTAGCTTAAAACTAAGTTTGTCTTGGAAACTTGGTGGAAGGTTGGTGTTAAAAACAAAATTGTGCACAATCTCATGCAATATTGCACCTTTACATGCAACCTGTTCACATTAGGATTCTGTGATGTAGAAGAATTTTTTGCTACAACTATGTAATTACATATTTTGTTGTAAAATTGATCATTTTTCTGCTGGCATTTGATTAGCTGCAGCGGCCATCTTGTATGAAGTTGACTCATTTCGCCAAAAGATAAACATGGCTGGCTCCAACAACAAATGCCAAACTATTAAAGACCAAGTTCACGCATTATTTTAACATAGTTACAGTGGTCTCTTGTGTAAATTAAGGCCTTGAGAGTCGATCTTTGTGGGTGGGGGTTGGGGGAAGCTATGGTCCTGTTTCAGGAAGTAGAAGTTTAGCCAGAGCAGAGGTGAGCAGAACACAGGATTTGGGATCCTATTTTCTAGTTTTCTGGCATCTCGCCTCTGATTGGCTAACAGTAACGCAAATCCACCACCAACTCTGTTTGCTTTTAAACATTGATGTTTAATCTCCACGAACAACAAGCCGAAAAGAGTTCTGCCAAGTTGTGGAGTTGCTAATGCTAACAGTTAGCTTCTTCTAGCCAAGACGTTCTCTGCTCTCTTCTGGAAAAGATTAAAAACGGTGAACTGGTCTTTAAGCAAAGATCTTGCACCATGTGCAGCTAGACTATAATGTCTCAACTGTAAGACCTAAATTTACTTCCTTGTCTGTAAAACTGACAGCATTATCTCCATTTCTGTGTTTGTAAGGAAAGTTGTAAAGTTGTCTGTCAGCCATCTTGACCTGGACTGACATCAAAAGATAATCAGTTGTATGTGTATTGATGGGAGTTTCATTAAAATTCACCCAGTGGTAAATTAGATCATTTGATAACTGGAAGATGATGGAAAATAGCAAAGTTTTAAGCAAAGATCCAAAAAGAAAAGCAAATGTTACATCAATGTCTGTAAATCTGAATCACAGCTATGCTTACTTTTGCTCATTGCTAATTGGTAAGATATGACGAATATTAAATTGTGTGTCTCTACATCTAACAAAAACATTGAGACTTCCATTAAAGAGCAAGTCACCCCCTACCAGAGTATTAATCCTCTCCCACTTTCTGTTTGAAAAATGCAACAAATGCTGTTGCCTAGCAGGCCGAGAGGGCGGAGCCGCTAACAAATACACACACACACACACACACACACACACACACACACACACACACACACACACACACACACACACACACACACACACACACACACACACACACACACACACAGGCTCACAACGACATTGTGACATCATATGGTACCAGCTAACGTTCTAGGGTACCTCTTAGCCAATAGCGATGGCTGGTTTAAATTCAAATGCAGTGCAGTTTTTACCTGACAACGGCACAACACTGACAGTTTTAGGCAGAAAATTTAAATTTTAACTAAAATGCACTAAAGTGCAAAACTATTGACTACACGTGTCTGCAGCACAATTAGACACGCATTTATATAGTTAAAAGTTGATTTGGGTGTGACCTACTCTTTAAAATCCATCCAGTGGTTCATGAGATTTTTTGTTAACAAACACACAAGTTGGACTCCAATGGAAAATGACAAAGAGCTTTCCCTCAAAGTCAGCTTGCACTCACCTACCAAAAAGTCCAATTTTACTTCAAAAACTGTAAAGATGACAGGAATGGCCATCTTTGATTTAACATTGGTTTGTTGCGGAGGGCATTAAATTGGGATATGTTCAAAGGTTGCAGATTTCAATGATTACATGAGAGTTTAAAGAGCAAGTCACCCCCAAATAAACATTTTTTTGCTGATAAACTAAATAAACGAGTGTCTAATCGTGCTGCAGACACGTGCCGTCAATAATTTGGCGCTTTAGTGCATCTTAGTTAAAATTTAAATATTCTGCCTAAAACTGTCAGTGTTGTGCCGTTGTCAGGTAAAAACTCTGCACTGTATTTTAATTTAAATCTACCACCGCTATTGGCTAAGAGGTATGCTATGATGTAAACTGGTACATTATGATGTCACAATGCTGTGGTGAGCCTGTGTGTGTGTGTATTTGTTAGCAGCTCCGCCCTCTCGGTCTGCCAGGCAACAGCATTTGTTGCATTTTTCAAACATGAAGTGGGAGTGGAGTTAGAATCTGGTAGGGGGTGACTTGCTCTTTAATTAAAATCCACATGATGGGTCATAAGACATTTTAAACGAACACACGCAAAAAAGATTCTTTCCTTTGTTATAAAACTGTTTGTGATAACTGTTCAGACACAGCCCAGATTTAGAAGAGGAATAAAGAATAAGAGGATCTCCTCTCATCATTAGGAACTAAACATGATGTAGCGTTGCACAGAAATACAAAGTTATGTGAATTTATTCTGGATGAAGTGCCTTGTTTGAAAATGCAAGATTTTAAGGTTGTAAAAATATTTTAGAACTGCAAGGAAATATTTTGATGGTGGACTATTTTTTATTACTTATTAAAAATACACGATGAATTTTTCACAACAGATGACAAAAAAGCACATAAAACTGTAGTCAGGGTTACAAAAGAAGAGGAAAATGCGAAGCCACACAAATCATTTTTGTTTTATTCATGGAAAACCATGAATAGATTATACCAAGGATATTTTTTTTCTTCTTAGTGCACATTTGTGGCTGTTAAAGTAAGCATCTGACACTGTTGAAGCTCAGCTGTCAGTGAGGAGGCTGCAGGCCAGAAACAGAGCTGAGAAGGTTCCAGATGAATTAAAAATGAATATGATCATGTGTTTTGATGCATTGTGTGTGTGTGTGTGTGTGTGTGTGTGTGTGTGTGTGTGTGTGTGTGTGTGTGAAAGAGAGAGAGAGAGCGTGAGAGAGACAGCGCAGAAACAATGTGTGTGGTCTTACTGATCTGGATCATCAGTGAAGTAGTAACGCACAACCCCGAAGATGCCTGCATCTGCGTCTGTAGCCTGGGAAGAAAAGAAACACACAAAACACACAAGTCCACCTTTTTGGAAAGTCCTGAGGAGAACTTTTGTTTAGCTCCTTCTTGTATAGTTTTTTCCAACTAACGTACAGGTACAACTCCACTTTCCCAGAGGGCATTTGTAGACCTGCATCCAATTATAACCGTCTGTCAATTTCATTCATTTCCGACCAATGTTACACGAGATATCTTTTGCATGCACACATAGAGACATGAGTTAAACATGCCCACTGTCCTTTGACATTTAGGATGTATTTTGGTGTGTGTGTGTGGTAGATCCCAGTGCTGGTCTCCAGTACACCTTCTTTAGGCACTGGTAGAATGTGTGGAAATCAGTCACATCTTCAGTCTGCTTGTGGTCCATGCCATGCAGAACCTTTTCCTTCCATTCTGAAGAATTTAAGATAATGAAACACTGAAAAGTACACTCCAATACTGAAAACAGAAACTCTTTTAGGTATGTTTGATGTTTGTTGTGTCCTACAGCCTCAGACCTGTGACTACCGAAAAAACAAACAAACAAACAAACAAAAAAAAAACAACAGAAAAACTAAAATTATAAAATAAAGAATTTTTACATTGCAAGTACAAAAAAAAAACATGTTTTAGCGTTCTTTAAAAACACACTAAATATTCTTTTTGGAAGAAAAAAACATCCTGGTTGATTTAACTGAAAATTAAGTTTAAAAAAACCAAGCAGCTGTACACGTTTGCTTCAGTGGGTGACAAACCAGTGAAATTATATTATTATTTTCAGGAATTTGAAAACATCTTTGCTATAAAATTGAATAACTTCAGCGGGACAAAGCCAGACCTCATCCTATACGTCAGCAGCAAGGCTTCAGAAACCCCAAACTCTGCTACTTTTTGCTTAAATGTGATCAAATAAATGACACTTCCAATGTTACTGTGCTATGTTCGATGCACACTTTTGTTCTTTAACAGGATTAGTACTTTCATCAAAATCTAAAATCCGGCATTTCTCCATTTTGGTTGGAGGACCTATGTACTGCAAGTACCTATTTTATTTTGATTGTATTAATGTTCCATGAAATTCAGAATATACAATCGCTTCAATTATCTGACAATAAATGAATGAATAACTTGCTTTTCTGTCACAAAGTTTTTCAAACCAAACTTTACTCCAACTGAGGTCCATCATTTTACAGTAGAAGAACTGGAAATACCAAGATTTGATACCTTAATTAAAGCAAAATTAGAATATATTCTTTTCTTTTTCTCTGCATACATTTGAGCTATATGAGGACGTGCTGATGTAGCTGCATACGATAATCGGCTCCGTTTCCCTAATTTTGTCACTCTAACAGCTGTCTGCGAGTATATGATAAAACATGAACGCCATGCCTCTCTTACTGGAGGTGTTGATTGGATTAAGTCTGATGGGAGACGTGATACATCCTCGCCCACGGGATCCAGCAACAACTGCTGTCATTCGTTTTGGAGTTAAAAGTGATGTCAGAGCAAAACAATCTAAAGATGAACACGTTCAGGAATTGCTTAACTTGTTTTTTTTAAAAATGCCACGTTAACAGTTTGATTGTGCAAATGCAGCGAAGACCTGGTGCACGTGCACCGGGCGTTCTGACGGGGCTGATGGATCGTGGTTGCAGAGTGGCTGTGATAGATGGTCACTTCAGTGGATCTGCAGTCAGTCGAAGTGTCAAACTTGTGTATTAGTGAAATCCCCCGAGTCTAACACAAGGTTGGTCACGGTGATTCAGTGATGCTCCAGAGTTAAGCTGTGCTGGTGCACATGCGTGTGTGAGTGCAGCGCACGTTTGAGCTCACACACATCAGCTCTTTATAAGGGGGCAAGGACGACGACTACCAGTGATCTTTGGCAGAATCTTTCACACGTTGAAGTTAAATAGCTACAGCGCGACACTGTGACTGGGTAACAGCAGAACCTTTATCTTCACTGACCTGAATCTGCAGCCTGGACAAAATCATCTTGACTGGGACTAATTTAAGTAAAACACCCTTTACAGGGTATCTGCAGGTTTAAGGGAGCCAAATTTAAGACTTTTTAAGACCTTTTTTAAGGCCACTTTGACTAAATTTAAGTTATTTAAGCAGGGCAGCAGTAGCTCAACAGGTTGGGCGGGTAGTCCAGTAATCGGAAGGTTGCACGTTCGATCCCGGCTTCGGACAGAGAATTCTGCTGTTGTGTCCTTGGGCAAGACACTTAACCCACCTTGCCTGCTGGTGGTTGTCGGAGGGACCGGTGGCGCCTCTGTCAGCGCGCCCCAGGGCAGCTGTGGCTACATCGTAGCTCATCACCATCAGTGTGTGTGTGAATGGATGAATGATACACTCTAGAGTAAAGTGCTTTGGAGTCCTTACTCTGACAGGTGCTATACAAGTGCGGGTCATTTATCGTTTTTAAAAATTAAAGCTATAATTTCCAGCTGTTGCCTGGAACCGGTGCCAACCACCCCGCGATCGTGGGATTAGCCATCCAGTTACCATTAAACTTCCACTTCCCCATGGCGCACGCTCCCACTAGCTTAACCAGCTAATGTGCTCATCTAAAAATAGCCCTCTTTCACAACCAACCGAACGTGTACGGTTCCGCTTACGCCAACATCGTACACAAAAAATGCTGAACACTAACTAGAAATTCATTAAAATTGAAATAAAAGAATCTTGTTTATTGGGTCTTTGGTAATTTAAGACCTCTGGAAACTGTATTTAAGGATTATTTGTCATTTTTAAGGATTTTTAAGGCCTTAAATTTGGAAAAGCTAATTTAAGACTTTTTAAGACTTTTTAATGACCCGCAGATACCCTGCTTTAGCACTAAGCAGCTCTAACGGTGAGACTAGTCACCAGACACATGCTTACTTCTGTTTCAATCTCTGGTTCGTAAATGAAGCTTTAGAGTCTTCACCTGTCGTTTCTCGATGACCTCATCCTTTACTGCCACTCTTTCTCTCTGCCTGATTTTGAATTCCCACACATTCCTCTTCTCTTCTCTTCTATTATCTTCCTCTTTTTCCTCTGTCTGAAACCTCCTCTTTTTCTCCGCATCACAGCTCTGCCTCCAACTCAACTCGCTCCCTTCGTCTCTACATATCTCCTTTAGCACACCCGTGCCCCTTAAATGCCTCCCTCCCTTCTCCTCTGCTCCTAGGTGAATGACAGGTCCATAAGTGCTCCAATGATAGCAGCAGGGGTGTTAATGTGACAGCTATCGAGGCGGTGACAAGAGCCGGGCTCAGCCTGTGAGCTATAGCGCTGCTTCTGCAGCCCAGCCCCTCTCACAACGGCAGACAGGAGCCGAGAGAAATAAAGAGAGAAAGATGATAGCCATCTCCCACCCGCCCCTTTCAATCATTCACTGACCCGCTCACTTTCTCCCAACAAACAATCACGGCCTAGTCACTTTGCCAACTGCTTGCCAAAGACTTTCAACTTCAGACACAGAGGGCCCTCATCGGATGGATGGGTGAGATTGGGGTGTGCAGGGATTTGATGCCACGTCCCACCACAGCCCTGGATCCCTGACACAGGGGTATTATGCATTTGCCTCTCGTCACCATGGAGGCTTAAAAATGTTATAGTCGGAAAGCTGGAGGTAATGAGAAAGTGGAGAGATGGGGAGCACAGGGACGGGGTGCAGGTAGGAGATGAGGAACAGAAAAGATGGGCCTAAGTAGTACATGATTGTCAACGTCCGTCCAAGGTTACAGTTTAAGGTGAAAACCCAAATCTCCCCCTCTCTTCAGCTCCACCTGGGGGAACCCAATGTGGTCTCAGGCTAGAGAGAATATTTTGAGAATATGGTGTTCTCGTAATGCAACAGGTCCAGAAAAAAAACTCCAGAAGAAGGTTGACCAAAAGGAAGCCCTACAAGATTCCCAAGTCACCTCAATGACCTCCTTTTGCTGAGAAAGAGCAGCGACTCCACTCCTTGCTCCATCCCTACAGCTCTGCCTGGCCGCCCAACAGAGGAAGTTCATTTCAGCTGATTGGATCTAGGATGTTCTTTTGACCCAAAATTCATGCCTGTAGGGTTGGAATAAAGACAGGCCAGTAAATCAATAACTTTGGCTTTGACCGAAGCAACATCATCTCAGACAAAGCCCCAGTCCATCAGTCCAACCATTCTACCATCAGTTGTGAACAAGACTTTCAAACCTCTCTGCTTAAGGCAGAGACTCACTCCCTTTTCCTGATCAAGAACCATTGTTTCGTTCTGGAGGAGCTGAGTCTGCCTGACTGTTTCATGCTCCAGTGCACATTGAAGGTCATAGTTGGAGGGCATCAAAGAACCACACTGCACGTAGAAAGCAAAGATCACCGTTCAATCCCGTCTACAAACACCCGAAACAGGATCCGAGATGAGGGACAACCCCCTCAACAACCTGCAAGAGCTATTCAGTCAGATTAAAATAGTAAACAACCAAAATTGATAAACTGCATTTCTTGCAGAAATTCTGTTTGAATGGTGTGATCTTGGGGTGACGTTGGGTAATAAACTCAAATCTCTTCTTTAGCAGAAGGACTCTTTAAACACATCAATATCAAAAGTCATAGCCGTCCATTCCTGAACAGGAATATTAACATTTGAATGCTGACAGCACTCAAACAAAACCCCAATTACAGTGGATGGGAGGCAATTTGAAGTAAACACAACACCTTTAGTGTGATGGTGAAAATCTCTGCTGTGCTAAGAAGCAGGGCAATCAACAAATCAGTGCTCTGATCAAAATCCAAACCAAGTTGTTAAGAACTTTCAGCACGAAAAGCCACAGTGCCACTGATTGCCAATATAAACTCTGCAAACCCCAAGGCCCTCAGGCAGTAACTACAAAGGAGAAATTAGTTCTCAGTTGACCAGTTTGGTTAAATGATGTGTTTCTTCCCATCAGAGAGGTGAAGCCAGCAGGCAAAATCTGTGTGTGTGTGTGTGTGTGTGTGTAAACTGGGGTTAGGAGGGAGATCAGATTATCAGTCCTG